TGACACGTCCTTCTGGGTGACTCTCCACGTCTTGGGTCAGGAAAGCATAAGCGGTGCTCTCCTCCTCAGCGACTTGTCTTATATTATCTTGTCGGCGCCGTCTGCAGTTTGCGTCCTTGTGTGTGGCACTTTTACAAAAACTGCACCACTGCCTGCGCTGACACGTTCTGGCTTTGTGTCCTTTTGTGCCGCATTTAAAACAAACAATGTTCGTAGCGGTGTTGTTTTCGTGCCAGTCAGATGCTTTGGCTTTTATCTTCATTACGTTATCTTCAGCTGACTGTACACACATTTTCACCGTGTCTTCAAATGACCGTAACTTCACTTTAAAGTCTGAAAACTGTAATGTGTCGTCACTTTGGGTTATATGTATGGCGAACGGCCTGAATGACTCCGGTAGTCCTTTTAACACCATTGCAATTAGCAAATCATCACTCATTGTTTCACCAGCGCCCCGTAGCGCTGTTATGATAGTCTCTGTACGTATAACATACTCCGTTACACTTTCACTGCTCGCTTTTTGGAGATTGGTCAATTCCGTGTAAAGGCTGATAATACGTGGCTTTCCTTTACCAGCATAATATGCGCGTAAAATCTTCAACGCTTGTCTCCCATCATCAGGGGCTTCTCTCATGACCAAACTCAAACTTTTGTCGTCGAGAAACTGGATTAATTCAGAATAAGCTTCGGCATTTTTATCATCGAAGTCGTCATCGTCTTCACCAACACCCAATATGGTCGGTTTAAGTTTTTGCAAATGCAAATGTCCCAAAAACTTAGTTTCCCACAGTTCGTATCCCTTTTCGTCTCCGTCGAAGACCAGGCGGGACCATCTACCTGTACGCTCCATTCTGTCTTTGGGCGTTAGCCGTTAGCACCGGGTTAGCACTTACTGAGCTCGCAGTTCGTCGCGACTTTTACTTCTCAGCGTCCTCCAGTCTCTCTCTGAGGCTTCCTGGGCCCATAACCTGTTGTCAGAATTCGCTACGCAGCAGCCCAGTGTGAGCCTCCTTTAGCACTGTGCGAGAAAAAGACGAGCAGTCCACACAGATTCATTTCACACAAGCAAGGTGCCATGGTTTATTTAGGGCGGGGTTAAATAAGGTCCGGCCGTGACGTCATCAATCAATAAACAAATAATGCATTCAGAGCATAACAGAAAATACAATACAATTAACACACACTCTGGCAGAGTTACTTAGGTTTTTTTTTCATAGTTTGGCATAACAAATGATTTAATGTGACCCACTACTGAGAGAAAACAGAGTCACGGACAGAGCTGCCGCGGATGGAGTGGGGGGTAGTGGGGGGTGGCGGTGGTAGGAGTGGCCGGGGAGCTTTGGATGTGTGGTGGTGGTGGAGCTGAAGTTCAGTCTGCAGCAGCCTGAAAACTCCCTGTGCTTTTGAGTCTCCTCTCTCTCTCTCTGCTCCGCCCATAGACTGTAGCTGGGACTGCTGCGCAAGGCTACTGTGAGACTGGCCGCCTGTAAGTGCTTTGGGACGGGGAAGGGGCTCACGTTGAGGACAGCAGAACAATACGTGCTTCACGAGTCTCCAAAACACCAGATAAGTCGCCAAAACACCAGATAAGTCGCCAAAACACCAGATAAGTCGCCAATAACACCAGAAAAAGTCGCTAGATTTGTCGCTAGTCGCTTTTTTGAAAAAAAGTCGCTATAGGGGTCTGAAAAGTCGCTAAATCTAGCGACAAAGTCGCTAAGTTGGCAACACTGAAACCATGTGGATCATGGCCCCGCCCTGAGCAGCGATGTCTTCTTCTTCTTCTTCTTGTGGATTTCCGGCAGACTGTGCGCCAGTCGGCGCATTGTTGCCTTTCACTGGTGGATCCAATTATTGCACCCTAGGTCCATTCAAATTCTCTGGTACAGTCCGGTACTAAAAATAAATTCCACAAGCGCACGAAAAACTTCTTGCTGCTGCACATGGGGAGCAAGCAATGATCTCAGATTCACACGCTCAAGTCCCAGGTGAAGAGCACGAGAAAACAGCAGTCTTCTTTGGTCCACATATTTCCTACATTGTAAGAGAACATGTTTCACTGTCTCTTGCTCACTGCACTCTTCACACAGGCCATCTCTGTGCTTACTGATCCGATACAGGCTTTGAGCAAGCCCACAATGACCCAGTCTCATTCTGGTTATCATAACCTGCTCCTTCCTGTTATTCCCCCGGGTTGCTTTATCCACTAATACTCTGCTGGATGCTGTAAAAGTGCCTTCCTCTTGTCTCCCTGTCCCATGCTCTCTGCCACTGCTCACACACTCTCATTTTAATTAGATGCCGATGCTCACACACACCAAATGCCACCACCACCTCTACTCTTTCGCTCTGCAAGGAATTTTTAGCAATCCTATCCACCACCTCATTTGCATCTACCCCCACATGCGCTGGAACCCACAAAAACCCCACATCATTCCCTCCCCTCTCTATCCTACACAGAACGCTTAGAGCCTCATATAAAAGATCTGCTCTTGTTTTAGACGACCCTGCCTCAAGAGACAGCAACACAGCCGCTGAGTCTGAGCAGACAACCACACTCTCTAGTCTCAATCGCTCAATCCATTTAAGGGCCCACACTATTGCCATCAATTCGGCTGTAAAAACTCCAATTCCATCTGGGAGTCGTCTGCCCTGACTCAGGGCCAATGTTGGGCTGTGTACCCCAAACCCTGCTCTCCTTCTCTGAGGGTCGACCGACCCATCCGTATACACCTGCAGGGCACTGTTCCAGTTGGTCACCAATACCTCCCTCACAACCTCTTGGGCACACACTCTTCCCCTTTCTTTAAGGCCCTCTTTAACGGACCAGTCCACCTCCACCTGAGGAAGCAGCCATGGCGGGACTGAGGGCCAGACAACCACCGGAGCCGTGTTCCTCTGCCTGAGCTCTGGAATCTCATCCTTTACCTCATAAATAAACGTTCTCCCCCCCCTTCCTCCTGTCTCCCATGTATCCTCCATCACCCTCCTAGCAGGATGCTCTTCACGTTGGCCTTGTGATTTTGCCACAAACTGGAGGGCCAGTTTTAACCGCCTCTTCTCAAGGGACATCTCCCCTACCTCAACCAGGAGAGCTGGTACTGATGTTGTTCGAAAGGCACCACAGCACACTCTTAGGGCCTTGGCTTGAACCACATCCAACTTAGCCAGATTTGTTTTAGCTGCATTCCCATACACCAGGCTTCCATAGTCCATAGACGACCGCACCATTGCTCTGTAAATCATCAACAGGGTGGATTTGTCTGCTCCCCAGTTACTACCAGTCAGGCAACGCATTACATTAATAACTTTATTACATTTACTCACAACTTTCTCAATGTGCCCTTTCCATGTCATCCTTTCATCAAAGTAAACCCCCAAGAATTTAAATATCCGGACCCTTTCCAGTGCCACACCATACAACTGCAGCCCTATACTACCAACCTTTTTGTTTCCGAAGACTATACATTTTGACTTCTCCACTGAGATTTTAAACCCCCACTGATTTGCCCATTCCATTATCCCATCTAGCGCTCTCTGCATTTTATTAATAACATAGCCAGTATTTCTCCCCCTCCTCCAGACACCCCATAACCCGGCCCCACACTTTTAAAAATATCATTTATCATTACATTAAACAAAACTGGACTAATTACACTCCCCTGTGGAGTACCATTGTCAATGTTTACCGATTGGGACAATGCACTTCCTACTTTTACTTGAATTGTACGACCTAATAGAAACGCTTTAATCCAATTTAAAGCACGACCTCTAACACCTGCATCATACAGTTTCACTATAAGTCCTTCTCTCCACAACATATCATAGGCCTTCTCAATATCCAAAAATACAGCCACAAGAACCTCTTTACAGGCGATTGCTCTCTTAATATCACAGTCCAGTGACAATACTGACTCCATGGTGCTTCTCCCTTTCCTAAAGCCATTCTGATACGGGACAAACCACCCCTCTTTTTCTAATTTGTACACTAGTCTGTCACCATTCTTTCCATAATTTTACACAATACCGACGTAAGCGCTATGGGTCTGTATGATCCTGGGTTGTTTTCAGCCTTTCCTGGTTTTAAAATGGGAATAACCACTGCCTGCCTCCAGGCTAGTGGTACACGCCCTTCAGCCCATACATTATTAATTAACGACAGAACCTCTTGCAGTACATCCTCCCCAAGCAGCGATGTCCCAGATGTGTGGAAATGATAACGGAGATAAAACAGAAACAGAACGGTCCTGGACAGAACGGTCCTGAACAGAACGGTCCAAACTAGGATCTGGGTCAGGGTTAATATTTACAGTTTATGGTTTAATCTCAGGAAGTATTGACTACTTTGAAAATAATTAAAACTTCTGTTTTTCCATTCCATCCTTTGTTTATTTTCACTAAGATCCCAGACAGTGAGAACATATATTTATATTTATATTCTATTGTACTCAGAGTTTGTGTTCCTAAAGAAGTCACTTTTACACATTATGCTGCATTTATCTGTGCGGTCAGGAGCTAGATTTCTCTCAGTTTTAGTCCAACAATCTTCAGATCTATTGCAGCTGCAGATAATGTTAACGGCACTTCCTCCTGAGTGTTTTTAACAGATCCGTGTATGATGTAGACGCGTTAGAGCAGTCTGACCGCTAGAGGGCGACAGTAAGAGACCGGGTTAGACCGTAAGCGTCTGTTTCCTGCTGTTCTTTTCACAATAAAGTTTTAGCCTTTATTTTTATTTTTATTTATTATTTTCACAAGTGATTAATCCTGATTCATGTGAGAGACAGACTCTCTGTGACTCTTTGTGTTTTTATTTTATGATGCAGATCTGTGGAAGAAAACTCAAAGTGCACTTACATTTTATTGTGGAAATACAGGAAAAAAAAGTTCTGAAACGGTTCTGAAACGGTCCATGTGACACACCAGGAACCATGTGACAGACCAGGAACCATGTGACAGACCAGGACCCACATTCCTACAGTAAACAGACCACCAGCAGAATGGGGATCTCTGCCTGGTACATGGACTCTTCTGATGAGGACCAGAGGGACCCGCACCAGCTGGACCCGAACCAACCCGTCTCTGCAGAAGAACTCCAGAGACTCGGGGTCTTTCACTGGGAAGTAAGTAAGTTTATGGCCGTGTTTATGCACCTCTCTCTGATTTATCTCAGATTTATCAGAGTCCATTTTGCATCTTTCTGATGTTTCTAACCTTCTTTTGCAGCTAAATGCTGATATTTATGAAAATGACCCAGAACTGGAGAAGATCCGTAAAGAACAAGGATATTCCTACATGGACATAATCACTATCCACAAAGACACGCTGCCAAACTACGAAGACAAGGTATGTTATGGTTCTAGTCCCGATGAAGACAAGGTATGTTATGGTTCTAGTCCCGATGAAGACAAGGTATGTTATGGTTCTAGTCCCGATGAAGACAAGGTATGTTATGGTTCTAGTCCCGATGAAGACAAGGTATGTTATGGTTCTAGTCCCGATGAAGACAAGGTATGTTATGGTTCTAGTCCCGATGAAGACAAAGCTCTGATCTTATTTACAGTCTCTAATCCTGAGACAGTTTAGCCTGAAACAAAGTGTTTCTCGCTCTGTCCTGAAGTCACTGTTTTAAACACTACACACTTTAATTATCCCATATATAAAATATCTAAATCTAAACTGGGGGCGACAGTAGCTCAGTTGGTAGAGCATTGGCCTTCAGGCCTGAAGGTTGTGGGTTCAATTCCCACCTCCACACCTTCTCCACCGACTCCCACTGATGACTGCTGTCGTTGTGTCCTTGGGCAAGACACTTAACCCAACTTTGCCCAAAGCCCCCACTGAAAGATCAAGGCTATGCTCACAGTCAGAGAGCAGCCGTCCTCCTGTGGACTCACCACCTGCAGAGGGTCAGTGAGGGGCTGGTGCTATGAGACTTGGGTGGCATCTCTGACTGCCACCCCCCTGACCCAGAAATGGATTAAGGGGAAGAAAATGGATGGATGGATAAATCTAAACTAGGGCCTTGGTCTAAATCAGGATTAGGTTTTCTTTTATTATAGTAATGTCTGAAATATTTTTGTAATTTGTTAAATTAATGTCATTTTACACAAGTTTAGATATTATCTTCTGGTATATTTACTTTCTAAAACAATTGGGCCAAATATCAGGATAAGTAAAGAATGATCAGTACAACAGCCAATGCTGAAAGTTACTGTAATAATAATGGTACACAGCCTACAGGTACACAGCCTACAGGTACAGTCTACATGTACACAGCCTACAGGTACACAGCCTACAGGTACAGTCTACAGGTACACAGCCTACAGGTACACAGCCTACAGGTACACAGCCTACAGGTACAGTCTACATGTACACAGCCTACAGGTACACAGCCTACAGGTACACAGCCTACAGGTACAGTCTACAGGTACACAGCCTACAGGTACACAGCCTACAGGTACACAGCCTACAGGTACACAGCCTACAGGTACAGTCTACATGTACACAGCCTACAGGTACACAGCCTACAGGTACACAGCCTACAGGTACAGTCTACATGTACACAGCCTACAGGTACACAGCCTACAGGTACACAGCCTACAGGTACACAGCCTACAGGTACACAGCCTACAGGTACACAGCCTACAGGTACAGCCTACAGGTACACAGCCTACAGGTACACAGCCTACAGGTACACAGCCTACAGGTACAGTCTACATGTACACAGTCTACATGTACACAGCCTACAGGTACACAGCCTACAGGTACACAGCCTACAGGTACACAGCCTACAGGTACACAGCCTACAGGTACAGTGGACCAGATGAGGTCACATGGTTGTCACATGGTTCCTTGTTTGCAGCTGAAGATGTTCTTCGAGGAGCACTTGCACCTGGACGATGAGATCCGGTACATTCTGGACGGTCAGTCCTACTTCGACGTCAGAGGCAAAGACGAGCGATGGATCCGGATCTCCATGAGCAAAGGGGATCTGATCACACTACCCGCTGGTATCTACCATCGCTTCACCCTGGACCACACTGTGAGTGGCCCACGCTGGTCTGATGGAAACTAAAACATTCATAGATATGTTCTTTATTGATCCCTGTCGGAGAAGTGTCCAGCAGCAGCAGAAACACATCCCTCCAAACAAACTAATAAATATACATTTCTAAAAGTATCAATAATATAAAAAAGCATCAGTCGTTCAGTCACAGCAGCAGGTGGAGCTCGGTTCAGAACATTTTCTCTGCTCTGGTCCAAAGTCAAATGTTAAATACTTCATCTTTCATAAAGTTATCATTCCTACATTTGTTTCTTTGGTAAATAAAAGTGTTGTTTATCCTTTTCAAATTTGAGAAATATTTAATTTACTTTGTGGTCATGACTCCAGAGACTCCCAATGGGATCGTTGAGCAGAGAGTTCTCTCGTCCTCAGAAGCCTGAGGATGAACTGACCTGTGCCGTAGGAAGCTGCCGTCAACATCTTACCATTTATCGTGCATTATTTAATTACCTTTTTGTGCTTTTTATTTCTGTAGAATTACACAAAAGCCATGAGGCTGTTTGTGGGAGAACCCGTGTGGAAAGCCTACAACCGTCCAGCCGACGACTCCCACATCAGGAAAAAGTATCTGGATTTTTTACAGGATTCATAAAAATGTCATTCACTAAATAAAAGATGAAAAGCAAATGATTGATCTGAAGGTGGTCACTACAGTTAATTAGAGTACTCGGATACTCTCACCTAGATTCTGGTATCAACATTTACACATTTATAACCTGTTTGTTTATATAAATATGAATAAAACACTAAAATCCTCTTTGTTGATTCTAACTAAACTCAAACTAACTTTAATAAAAACCAAGCTGCTGTCGTTTCGGGCACGTGTCAAAAAACCTTGGATTAAAATCTTTGTTTTTATTGTATATAAATATGAATAACACAATCTCAGACTCTGCACAAATAAAAACATCGGTTCAAAGTACATTAGAATTCTGCATTTCCATCTTCTGTCGAGAAACTCAATCTGGACTTGTTTACTTTCTCTGCAAACGACTTAAACGACGAACGAGGAACAGCCGAAGAAATGCAGTGGTCTTTGAGTTGATCCAGTTTTACAGCAGGGAGCGGCTTAAGGCGGACCTCTGTGGACCGGTATTAGACTTTAAGCACAGAGAAGCCCCGGATAATGCCCGTGTCAAGCCTCACATGATGAGACGGAAACTCCCTTAAAAGCAGCTCTGAACTTTGTCTGCTTAACTTTTGGTGCATTCGAGAAAGTTGAGATTTCAATACCACCTTAAAAAAGCGTATTCCCTTGTGTATCAACGGTGAGCGCAGTAAAGCTGAATCATGCATTAGCTGGAGTTAGCTTTGTCGTATTCTGTGATTAATAATAAAGTAAATAAACGGTAAAGTATGTGTTCCGTTGTTTTTCCAATTTCATTTCAAATGTTTTGTTTCAAAGTTTATATCTTCAGTAGAAACCTGCTTGGTGCCTGTAACTCCCGGCGCTACCACTAGAGGGAGCAGTTGTTTTGGTTATTTCCCTAATGTCATTTCTCAGATGTTATTTACAAACTTCTTTAAGGACACCTCATCAGTTTGAGTGTGAAACTATTACAGACGAGAGAAAGGTTTTGGGGGCGGAGTCACAAAATTTTGGACGTTAAGCTGGCTCTAAAAATAACAAAGTATTATGGTTAAAACCTTAATACGTCTCCTTTAAGTTTAGCTAAATCATTTTAAGAATCTGGTTACATGAGGAAAAAGGACAGTGGTCATATAGAAATCATTAAAACCCTTTTTGGGGCAGAATGGTCCGGCCCAGCGCCTCTGAACACAGACAGTATTTTCTGATGAGTTTTGCAGAAATGTCTTTTCCGTGAACACAGAAACTCAGACCAGTTTGAGGCATTGCGTGTTGAAGCTGTCTCCCTCGCGGCCCGCCACCGCCTCCAGCAGCGCCTGCTTCTTCTGCGTGCTGCGGGACGACTCCAGCTCGTACATCGTGGTGAGGTTGAAGAGAACGCTCTCGTGGAGGTACTGAGCCGGGTCCTGCTGCACCAGGCCCTCCAGCTGCCCCAGGGACTCCTTCAGACGACCCAGATACAGCAGGCACACGGCGGCATTGTTGTTCGCCTGCAACCACACCCACGTGGAGTGAGACAAGGGTGAGGCGAGAGTGAGACTGGAGTGAGGCGAGAGTGAGACTGGGATGAGACGAGAGTGATACAGGGGTGAGGCGAGAGTGAGACTGGAGTGAGGCGAGAGTGAGACTGGGATGAGACGAGAGTGATACAGGGGTGAGGCGAGAGTGAGACTGGAGTGAGGCGAGAGTGAGACTGGGATGAGACGAGAGTGATACAGGGGTGAGGCGAGAGTGAGACAGGAGTGAGGCAAGAGTGAGACAGGGGTGAGGCGAGAGTGAGACTGGAGTGAGGCGATAGTGAGACAGGGATGAGGCGAGAGTGAGACAGGGGTGAGGCGAGAGTGAGACAGGGGTGAGGCGAGAGTGAGACAGGGGTGAGGCGATAGTGAGACAGGGATGAGGCGAGAGTGAGACAGGGGTGAGGCGAGAGTGAGACTGGAGTGAGGCGAGAGTGAGACTGGGATGAGACGAGAGTGATACAGGGGTGAGGCGAGAGTGAGACAGGAGTGAGGCAAGAGTGAGACAGGGGTGAGGCGAGAGTGAGACTGGAGTGAGGCGAGAGTGAGACTGGAGTGAGGCGATAGTGAGACAGGGATGAGGCGAGAGTGAGACAGGGGTGAGGCGAGAGTGAGACTGGAGTGAGGCGATAGTGAGACAGGGATGAGGCGAGAGTGAGACAGGGGTGAGGCGAGAGTGAGACAGGGGTGAGGCGAGAGTGAGACAGGAGTGAGGCGAGAGTGAGACAGGGATGAGGCGAGAGTGAGACAGGGGTGAGGCGAGAGTGAGACAGGGGTGAGGCGAGAGTGAGACAGGAGTGAGGCGAGCGTGAGACAGGGGTGAGGCGAGAGTGAGACTGGAGTGAGACTGGAGTGAGACTGGATTCTCTGTTTCCTCTTCATATAAGTGTAGGAGTGTGTTCGCGGTTAAGAACCAAGTATGTGGACTTTAAAAGGTTAGAACTCAAACTAACGTGTGTCGCCTTCAGAGAGAGCCACACAAACACACTCACCACAGAGAGACACACACTCACCACAGAGAGAGACACACACTCACCACAGAGAGACACACACTCACCACAGAGAGAGACACACACTCACACACACTCACCACAGGGTTCTTGGGGTCCGTCTGCAGGACTTCAGTGAAGGAGGAGTGAGCGTCAGTGTAATTATTCTGACTGAGGAAGGAAAAGGCTCTGCAACACACCATCATCATCATCATCATCATCTCTGCTTCAAAGGCAGCAACTTCCAGTTCAAAGAATTCATGTATTCATATTAATTATAACTTTAACAAAAGAACACAATCCCAGTGCAGAAAACGAACATCGATCCACAAACTCTTAATAATAATAATAATAATAATAAAACTAACTCTGGCACACTGACAGAAGCGAGGCAACCAGTCTGTGCCATCGGCCCCTCCCACCACCAACCATTCACACACACCCCAGACTCATTCTAATGTGGGGGAAGTGTCTTGCCTAAGGACACAACCACAGTTTGGCACTTTACAGCCACAGCCGCCCCACTGTGGCACCTGCTGTTCCCAGAGGTCTCCCATCACAGCACAAACCAGGCCCTGCCCTGCTTAGCTTTAGAGGTCTGACAGGATCTGGCTTTATCTGGGTGTTGCAGGTGTTGCAGGTGTTGCCACTCACTCTCTCACTCCTCCCCCGTCTCATACCTCACCCTTTCCCTCCTCCCTCCCCCCCTCCCTCTCCCTCCCCCTCCCTCTCCCTCCCCCCCCCTCTCTCTCCCCCCCCCTCTCTCTCCCCCCTCTCTCTCCCCCCTCTCTCTCCCCCCCTCTCTCTCCCCCCTCTCTCTCCCCCCTCTCTCTCCCCCTCCCCACTCCTCCCTCTCCCCCCTCCCTCTCCCTCCTCCCTCTCCCCCCTCCCTCTCCCCCCTCCCTCTCCCTCCTCCCTCTCCCCCCTTCCTCTCCCTCCTCCCTCTCCCCCCTCCCTCTCCCTCCTCCCTCTCCCCCCTCCCTCTCCCTCCCCCTTCCCCTCCCCCTCTCACCTGTTCATCAGGATGCATGTGTTGTGACAGGGTGAGTTTTCTTCCATCTGACTGTTTTTCTCCACGTCCTGAAAATACTTTTCTGCAGCTTTAACGTCTCCGATCTGAGGAGCACAGAGTCACATCACACTACGGCTGTGTACGGCTGTATACGGCTGTGTACAACTGTGTACGGCAGTGTACGACTGTGTACGGCAGTGTACGACTGTGTATGGATGTGTACTAGGGATGTAAAAAACTATGAATTTTCATGACCGACCACCGAGCCTCATTAACCGGTTGAAACCGGTTAACCGCGTAGTTTAAAATAGTCCATGTTCTTTGAAATAACAGCCATTTCGAGCCGCGTACTTTTCATATGTGCAGCTGAGCGTTCTACGGGATCAGAGCCGAGACAGCGGCACCAAAACCCGCAACAGCTTGGGCACCTTTGCGCACAGAGAACTGCTGTTTTAATCTTCCCATTATTCTGTGCTACGGCTTAAAGCATTTTTAAGCAAAAGACAGCTCGTCCACATGGTCAGGGCAGCGAGTGACGTCCACATGGTCAGAGCAGCGAGTGACGTCCACATGGTCAGAGCAGAGAGTGACGTCCACATGGTCAGAGCAGCGAGTGACGTCCACATGGTCAGAGCAGCGAGTGACGTCCACATGGTCAGAGCAGCGAGTGACGTCCACATGGTCAGAGCAGCGAGTGACGTCCACATGGTCAGAGCAGCGAGTGACGTCCACATGGTCAGAGCAGCGAGTGACGAGCCGCGTCTCGCAGGTCTCCGCTAAAGTTTAAAAGCGATCAGTGTGGAGCTGATGCCAAGGACCAGCAGCACAAACATGGTCCATGTGGTTTGACTGGAGCCGTGTATTTGCAAGAATGCTTTGGGCTCCGTGACACAGAGGAGCGCGACAGACCGGTATGCGTGTGTGTACAATACATGTATGTATATGTCTGTGTGTGTGTATATGTAAGCTATGTGTGTGTGTGCAATACATGTATGTATGTGTGTGTAAATATAAGCTCCAATGTAGTTCTGACCCGCACCAGTGTGCAACTAGCAGACGGTAACACAGGGGAGAGATGATGCGTGTGGATGTTACGTGTCAATGGAGGGGGGGGGGGAATGTGTGTGTGTGTGTGTGTGCGTGTACATGTGTGCGTGCATATGTGGCGCGTACGGCGTGAGAGTCGGCCCAGAGTTTACTGTTACATTGGCGCACACAGCTAGATAGGGACCCGCTCGTCACATCGTGCAAATAGGGCTTAAAATAGCGTTATGAAGAGACCTCCCCTCTCCCCTTTTCTCTTTTTTAACCGACAGCTTTGACCGGTTAACGCTGTGACGGTCAACCACCGGTTAAACGGTCACCGATTTACATCCCTAATGTGTACGGCTGTGTACGGCAGTGTACGACTGTACGGCTGTCTACGGCTGTGTGCGGCTGTATATGGCTGTGTACGACTGTAAACATTATTACTACAGATGAACACATCTGTTTGTAAACTTCAAAATGACCAAGACATCATTAGACTCAAAATACTCTCAGAACAAGAGGCAATAGAAAAGCTCTTAAGGCGGTCTATTTAAGGCGGTATGTTAACGGTGCAGCCGCTGCTCAGCCATCCTCTGTCTAGACTCTGGACAAACAGGTCACTGGGTTTCAGCTTTTATGCTCCATCCTTTTATACCAGACGGAAAATACTTTCATTCATGTTCCACATGTTCATGGAAAACACATTCAACGGCAAAACACTTTCATTCATGCTTTCACTCATGCTTTCACTCATGCTTTCATTCATGCTTTCATTCATGCTTCCAGTGAATCCAAACCTGGAGGAAGATGCGGCCGATGGCGCTGAGGAGCTGCACTCTCTGCTCTGGCTCGTACCGCAGAATGGATTGGTAAGTCTCCACCGCCAGAATGTAATCCTGAAAAACAAGTTGGATTTATTTAAGGACAGTTGCTGCACCAGATTCAGCACCAGCGAATTTCCACATCTGGTCCTGACAATACAACCATAACTTACATAATAATATACAGATTAAAAGTGTAAGTTACTAAAATACAATTAGCAATATGTAAAATTTTCACATCAAATAATCATTAAAGGGCCCTAATCTGTCATCATTAAAGGGCCCTAATCTGTCCTCATTAAAGGGTCCTAATCTGTCATCATTAAAGGGCCCTAATCTGTCCTCATTAAAGGGCCCTAATCTGTCATAATTAAAGGGCCCTAATCTGTCATCATTAAAGGGCCCTAATCCGTCATCATTAAAGGGCCCTAATCCGTCATCATTAAAGGGCCCTAATCTGTCATCAATAAAGGGCCCTAATCTGTCATCATTAAAGGGTCCTAATCTGTCATCATTAAAGGGCCCTAATCTGTCATCATTAAAGGGCCCTAATCTGTCGTCATTAAAGGGCCCTAATCTGTCATCATTAAAGGGCCCTAATCTGTCGTCATTAAAGGGCCCTAATCTGTCATAATAATAAACTGTTCTTTTCCAATCCTTCTTTAACTGATAACAGTCGTTATATTTGAATTTCTAAATTACTTTTCCAGCCTCTAAATCTTGTTATTGTTTTCATTTCGATGTCCCGCCCTCCACCGTTTCACCAATCAGAAAGTCTGTGATCCGGGCGCCAGAACTCACCGCGTGGAGCTAATCTCACTGGTAAAGTACCATGTGGAGATAATCTCACTGGTAAAGTACCATGTGGCGCAGAACTAAAAAAGGTCTCGTTATGATTCTCAAATCATTAACGACAAAACAAGGAATAAAACCAGGATTTCTATCTTTGTGAAAAAGGTGTTGGTTATAGATTTGTTGTTGACAAAACTCTTGTCTATTCAGCTGTTATGGTCCCAGCTGGATTCGTCTGCATATCTGGCAACCTGAGTCAGGGAGAGTGGGAGAGGCTGCAGTACCACTTTTGGCCACATATTTACAGACTGTTTCTTTAACATACAGTTGAAAATGAAGGTGCGAGGCATTTCCAAAGTTGAGCGAGGTAAAGCCAGGTGACCAGCAGGGGCAGGGGCAGGTGGAGGGCGAGACGACGGAGCTGTGGGGCTGTGGAGGGAGTGGGCATTAATCAAACATATGGAGTATTAGCGGGGAGAATGTGACCCCGCTCCACGCCTCCTCGCATCGCTCAAGCTGTGACCGGACTGCTGAGCGCGCCCGCCGCAGAGGTCACCCAGCCCTGCGTGTTTACACCACTTTCAGAACAGGTCGCAGGAAACGTTACTGCTTTTTATCAACACTTATCTGAGAATTAAAGAAGAGCTTCTAATAGTCACTCATTCATTCAGCTGAAAAACTACACCCATTGGTACTTTGAAAAAACAACCAACACTCAAGGTTAAGCTGAGACATAGAGTAAGTTTAACGTTAAAGAACGCAGGTCTGAATTTGAAGGAGAATGATATTAACTATACTTTTACTAAAGTATGTGTGTAAACTAGTATCAATACTTTTACTAAAGTATGTGTGTAAACTAGTATCAATACTTTTACTATAGTAAGCGTGTAAACTAGTATCAATACTTTTACTATAGTAAGCGTGTAAACTAGTATCAATACTTTTACTATAGTATGTGTGTAAACTAGTATCAATACTTTTACTAAAGTATGTGTGTAAACTAGTATCAATACTTTTACTAAAGTATGTGTGTAAACTAGTATCAATACTTTTACTTTTACTATACTACGTTTGTAAACTAGTATCAATATTAGTATTTTCAGATTCAGATTCATATTATTAGCCAATTGCAGTAAAACCACATTGGAAAAACCACCAATGTGAACAAGACAAGTGCATAAATAAGCAAGGTTAAAAGAACAGAAATAAAACTAAACAAGTGCAGGAAACGACTGTAAACGACTGTAAACGACTGTAAACGACTGCAAACGACTGCAAACGAATGTAAACGACTGTAAACGACTGCAAACGACTGTAAACGACTGTAAACGACTGCAAACGACTGTAAACGACTGTAAACGACTGTAAACGACTGCAAACGAGTGCAAACGACTGCAAACGACTGTAAACGACTGCAAACGACTGCAAACGACTGCAAACGACTGCAAACGACTGCAAACGAGTGCAAACGACTGCAAACGACTGCAAACGACTGCAAACGACTGCAAACGACTGTAAACGACTGCAAACGAGTGCAAACGACTGTAAACGACTGCAAACGACTGCAAACGACTGCAAACGACTGCAAACGACTGCAAACGACTGCAAACGACTGCAAACGACTGTAAACGACTGTAAACGACTGTAAACGACTGCAAACGACTGCAAACGAATGCAAACGACTGCAAACGACTGCAAACGACTGCAAACGACTGCAAACGACTGCAAACGACTGCAAACGACTGCAAACGACTGCAAACGACTGTAAACGACTGTAAACGACTGTAAACGACTGCAAACGAGTGCAAACGACTGCAAACAAATGCAAACGACTGCAAACGACTGCAAACGACTGTAAACGACTGCAAACGACTGCAAACGACTGCAAACGACTGCAAACGACTGCAAACGACTGCAAACGACTGCAAACGACTGCAAACGACTGCAAACGACTGTAAACGACTGTAAACGACTGCAAACGACTGCAAACGACTGCAAACGACTGCAAACGACTGCAAACGAATGTAAACGACTGTAAACGACTGCAAACGACTGCAAACGACTGTAAACGACTGCAAACGACTGTAAACGACTGTAAACGACTGTAAACGACTGTAAACGACTAAACGACTGCAAACGACTGCAAACGACTAAACGACTGTAAACGACTGTAAACGACTGTAAACGACTGCAAACGACTGCAAACGACTGCAAACGACTGTAAACGACTGCAAACGACTGCAAACGACTGCAAACGACTGCAAACGACTGTAAACGACTGTAAACGACTGCTAACGACTGTAAACGACTGCAAACGACTGTAAACGACTAAACGACTGTAAACGACTGTAAACGACTGTTAACGACTGTAAACGACTGCAAACGACTGTAAACGACTGTAAACGACTGCAAACGACTGCAAACGAGTGCAAACGACTGTAAACGACTGTAAACGACTGTAAACGACTGTTAACGACTGTAAATGACTGTAAACGACTGTAAACGACTGTAAACGACTGTAAACGAATGTAAACGACTGTTAACGACTGTAAACGACTAAACGACTGTAAACGACTGCAAACGACTGTAAACGACTGTTAACGACTGTAAACGACTGTAAACGACTGTAAACGACTGTAAACGAGTGTAAATGACTGTAAACGACTGCAAACGACTGTAAACGACTGTAAACGACTGTAAACGACTGTAAACGACTGTTAACGACTGTAAACGACTGTAAACGACTAAACGACTGCAAACGACTGTAAACGAGTGTAAACGACTGTTAACGACTGTAAACGACTGTAAACGACTGTAAACGACTGTAAACGACTGCAAACGACTGCAAACGACTGCAAACGAGTGTAAACGACTGTAAACGACTGCAAACGACTGCAAACGACTGCAAACGACTGTAAACGACTGTAAACGACTGTAAACGACTGTAAACGACTGCAAACGACTGCTAACGACTGTAAACGACTGTAAACGACTGTAAACGACTGCAAACGACTGCAAACGACTGCAAACGACTGCAAACGACTGCAAACGACTGCAAACGACTGCAAACGACTGTAAACGACTGTAAACGACTGTAAACGACTAAACGACTGCAAACGACTGTAAACGAGTGTAAACGACTGTAAACGACTGTAAACGACTGCAAACGACTGCAAACGAGTGTAAACGAGTGTAAACGACTGTAAACGACTGTAAACGACTGTAAACGACTGCAAACGACTGCAAACGACTGCTAACGACTGTAAACGACTGTAAACGACTGTAAACGACTGCAAACGACTGTAAACGACTGTAAACGACTGTAAACGACTAAACGACTGCAAACGACTGTAAACGAGTGTAAACGACTGTAAACGACTGTAAACGACTGCAAACGACTGCAAACGAGTGTAAACGAGTGTAAACGACTGTAAACGACTGCAAACGACTGCAAACGACTGTTAACGACTGTAAACGACTGTAAACGACTGTAAACGACTGCAAACGACTGCAAACGACTGTAAACGAGTGTAAACGACTGTAAACGACTGTAAACGACTGTAAACGACTGCAAACGACTGCAAACGAGTGTAAACGAGTGTAAACGACTGTAAACGACTGCAAACGACTGCAAACGACTGTTAACGACTGTAAACGACTGTTAACGAAGCAGGTTCAGGGC